ATCAGACGGGAGAAAGGCGGGAAGCGGAGACGAGGGGAAGGCGGGAGAACGGTAAGGAGAGAGGAAGAGGAGAGGAGGCGACCGGGAAGAGCGCGGAAGCGAGTTGAGGAGGAAAACGAGGCAGAGCAGGGGAGGACGCAGAGGCGTGAAGAGTATGACAGATTAGAGAGGGGAGGCGCTGTTCACCGGCAGCAAGCGTGTGCGCGAAAGCGGAAGGCGGCGGCGGCGAAAGACGTTGGCAGACCGCGCGGCGCCGTCCGCGTCGCGGACGAGGGTCGTAGTTCGTCGGCGTAGCCCTCCCTCGCGCAGGCAGCAGGCGACAGCTTCTCCACCAGCTTCGCCGCCCTGGCGCCACACACAACACTTTGGAACTTTACCCACCTCCAAAAAATCACCACAATAACATGCGTTTAGAGTTTTGAGAAATTTGGCGAATAAATCGTGTAAAACCTTTCTGCTACAGAAACTCAAAACTCAAATATTACTTTCAAATTTATTGTTAAATATTTCAATAAAGTTCTTCTTCTAAAATTAATTTATATGTGACATACTTAAAATATCAATACATTATGTTGCTACTTATTTGAGGTAAATGCGACACCACGTACAAATGGCAAAGACTCCATTTTGTATGGAAGCTGGGACTGAAACTCAGTATAAGGCAATCAATTTGTCGAACATGATCATGTTTACGCCATTGTGTGAGAATAAGGAGTTTTAGAAAACAAGAGTTTGTCTAAAAATTATCATTACCTTTTTACTAAATTACATACTTTTTTTTGGGCTTATTACGTAGTATTCGATATTTACTCTGATAAAGTATTCTTAATTCTTCCAGAACAGAAACATCAAATAATCCTAGTAAAACCGGTTATAGAAGCAAGCAGAATTTGTGTGGCCTATGGCGACCTGATATACGCGTGAGACTTGAGCAAATGAGCCAGTCGCGGATTATCACTTCATGGGATCCACACACGTTCAAATTAACTTGCGGCCCCTTAAAACATTGAATATTCATCAACATATTGTTCTGAAAATACCCAGAATAATCTTTCAAATTCATATATTACAATCTACAGGATTCAACACGCCATTAAAACGATCGGGGCCTCTGTGCAAGGGGTGTGGCCTGCGAGGAGCGGGGGTGCGTACCGAGACGACGATGAGGGGAACTCGCTGTTACGGTGATTGCTGTGCATCTGGGCGGCCACGCAGCGCCGCGCCTCCTGGTAACAGGGCTCCGTCGTCCCAGGCCGGGTGCGCTGGGACTAGCGCCAGCCGCCCACGCCGGTGTGCTGGCGCGCCAGCAGCAGATGCAGCTTCGGTCAGCGTGCAGGTTCCTCGTTGGCGCGCGCGTCCCCTGCCGCCGCCAACCACAGCCACTCGTAGGACGCTTTGCCCACGCCGCGGTCAGAAGCGCGCACGTCAATCATCAGGGCTCTTCGCCGACCCCTTCGCGACGACGGACAATCGGACCGCAGCAGGTACCTGCCTTCGACGTCCCTTTGTCCGTCGTCGGCGAAAGATGCCCTGTGATGATTGACATTCGCGGCTTCCTTTGCCGACGTGGGGAAGCGGCCTTAGCGCTAGGAGCGCTCCTTGCGGCAGCGCTTCGAAACCACCAGCCTCCAGCACCACTCTCGAAGTCAAAACTCGTAAATAAAACCCCACCGGAAGCCCGCGGTTCGAATAGACCCCGCAAGGGGTCAGGCGAACGTAACCGAACATCCCAGGAAACGTTGCAAAGGATCAGGCAAAATCAGAAGAGAAGAGAGAGATAGGATGTTATTTATAGAGAGAGGATAAATAGAGAGGAGAGAGAACAGAGAGCGGATGGAGAGAATAGAGATAGAGTATAGAAAGAGGGAGAATTGAAAGATAGATAATACAAAGAGAGAGTACAGGAAGAGATAACTTAGAGAGAGGTCGGAGAGAGTGGGAGATAAAAGGATAGTGATGGTAGAAAGATAGAGGATGGAGAGAAGTATAGAGAGAGGGTAGAAATAGGGAAGGGGAGGAGAGAGACAGACGAGAGAGGGGGTGAGAAGGAGGAAAGCACGCGACGCTAAAATGTGTTGAATATTTAATTACTGGATTTATTTATTGGTCATTTATTTTTCAGAGTAAAAGGAATATCAATAATTCTTAGGAATAAAAAAGCTGTACTTAACAACAATTGATATCGTGTCATGTAGTATGTATAATGTTACAGTGGTGGCTCTCTGAGATAGGCAAAGTAGCCGTTGTCTGCCTTGAATTGAATGTATTAGCATCATGCATTTCACATATTAATACATAGGCGCGATCATTCTCATTTCCTCTTAACCAGCGACTCTATTTCGGTAGGAATGTGATTATTGTATTTGAATGCTTTATTTTTTAATTTTATTTTGAAGTCCGTATGAGGCAAAATTATTTATGAGTTATTTGATTTTCTTAGATTTAAATATGTTTTACGTTTATATTAGACTACTACTAGATTGGAACGAACTACTACGTACATCGTTTTCTCGATTTAAAGATGCGGATAAGCAAGTTTGCGCTGGCAAGTAAAAAGCAAAAAAGCATTCATAATAAATAGCTCAAAATGGTGGCCTTTTACTGTTCGAACCCCTTACCTCAAATCTAAATTTTAAAAAAATTCCACTTTTTGGAATAGAAATTTCTTATTGAACTAACGCACGCTCGGATTAAATGAGAATACTTATTTGGAATGTGAAGCGATCAATATGTAACAATAGTTTTGCATAAATTGAGTGAAAAATCGCTATTGCCTCCAAGAGGTCACGGTTGCCTTACACTATCCCACTTTGAATCCGTCTTTGTTCGCTCATTCCTGTTTTGTCTGACCTGAACATTTGTTGACCAGACGACCTCACTTTCCTTTGACACATGACTCATTCCAATACTTGTTCGATCTTATCCTTTAACCTACGTCCATTAGCACCTTATCTCCCCATGCCGGAAAATCGGAGGACGAAAGCGAACAACAACAGACAGGAACGAAGTCATTGCCGAGATAATGGTTATTTTACGTTTGTGCGAAGGTATTTTTAGTGCAGAGATCGGTTTAAAATGATTTCAACAACACAATATTGTGCATAGAGAAGGAAAGTGTAAAAATAAACATGCAATGAATATATTTTGAATGTGATAAATTTATAGAGATGTTCGATTTGCAAGAGGCAAATATTATTTTCAAATCATGTATTTGCTCAATATATGCCTCCTCAATATCTTCTTTGTAAGCCAGTTTCTTCATTAAATCCGTGAAATAGCAATGTTTTTCTTCTTTCCCTTACAAACTCTGATAACTAAGTATTTTGTTCGACCCGATGGCCGAAGGCAGTAGTGCCGTAGCGATCTTGGACCGAAGGATCGCGGGTTCGAGTCCCACCTCGGGCATGGTTGTATTGTGTTAGTTCTTTCACCCCCTATCATCATATCGTGTCATCCTCCCAGTTCCCATGCCGTTACAAGCAATAGTGGTCGCTAATGACCTAGAAGTTGATGCGACCTTAAATAACAAAAAAAATAGTATTTTGGAATAAATGTTGGAAGTTCTATGTTGGCGGACTGAACGTATGTTTTATGAAAACAGCTGAGGGTGCAGATCGGAACCTCGTTTCCAACTGAAGACCAGAGTAACAATGTTTACGCTTTGCCCTAAAGTATAAGTGGTTCGATCTCATAACTATGTGGTAGTTTTGTTGTAGCCGGCTTGCTTAGATGCCGGGCAGTAGAAGTGATTCCGTTCGAGGCTTCGCGTTGTACTTGAGGTAGTGAGTCAATTCCTTCACGAGACGCACTACAAGACATAGGACACAGTTTTTGTTTCTGTTGTTTACAGTTAACACTTGAAACTGTGAGCGTAATTGTTGAACATTTGAACTTTTGTACCATTTGCGCGCCAACGCTACCGACTGTTTTGTTTACTTCCACGCTGCCAGGGACGTTTGCATTGTTGTATACTGGTGCTTATTTTGAGATTATCTACGGTACTTGATTAGTGTTTCCTAAACCGAATATTATTTTTTTAAAATTTTGATTAGAAGGCTGCCCTATAAAGGAATTGCTTTCTGGGAATATCATAAACATGTTAAGTTAAAGTGTAATGGATGGTGAAATTTCACTTTATTCCTTTGACTGCTTTAGAAATACTATTCACATTTTTTCATTTCTCCTCCTTTCTTGATCCACCTTTCTCGCATTCCCGATTAACCAGCCAGTGTCATAAGCGATTTCGAATAGTTTTGGAAGACCAAATTAATTACATAAAGTTGAAGTGTCTTAATAAAATTTAAAAAGTTCGTGGGTTGTAAAGCCTTCAATCTTACTTGCAAAAATGTTATTTATACACGCTTCCATTGACTCCTCTTTACCAAAGCAAAGCCTTGAGTACTGGATAACCGAAATACACACGCTCAAGGGCAAGAATAATGGATATGCTCCCAAGGTTGAATGGCCTATGGTTGCAATACTTACTACGTTTCCCACATGGTATCAGTGATATTTGTAATCACGTTCATTCCACAAAAGTACGAAAATACTTTACGGTATAAAGTAGAGATCTGTGTGTACGAACTCAAGAGTGGAAGAATTATCGCATGCGCACCAAGAATCGCTAACCTAGTGATGCAAAGAAATACGAAGTTCATTATCATGCTATATCAAATGAGTATTATCATTTTTTACCCACTTTGATTACCTAAATCCTCACTTAAGGAACTTGTGATTAGTTACGTAATGAGTCCAAAAGCCTGCGAGAACTCACGCTTGTGGAAACGCTTTCTCCCTTTCTCGCGTATTGGGACATCTGTACGTAATACAGTGATTTTTTTTTAAAAAAAATTACCATTGAACGATTAATTACAAGACTTTCACAAGAAAATTCCCTGGTACGAGAAATTTGGACCTTCAGTTCTTCACAGCCATAACGTTGCCGGACATTACGTAGTTTGTTCGAAATAAAAAAGGAAACAGAAATGATCCTGAATGACATTAACCTAGTTTCCTAAGCAACGACGAATGAGAGGTAAGTCAGCCAAAGATTGAAACTTTTGACCGCAAGTGGAAGAATGATGTGAGAATAAATTTATAAAAATCGAGACTATTATAAATCCAATAAGACAAGAAAAAAGAGGAGAAGAAAGTAATGAATTAAGAGGAAAATTAGAAAAAATAAAAAAATGGAAAAATAAAAAAGTGGAACAACAAAAAAAGAGAAAAGAACAAGTGGAAAAAATGGGCAAAGAAAGACAAAAAAAAAACAACGAAAAGGCGGGGAAGATGAGAAAGGAAGAGAATGAGGTGCAGCATGGGAGCACAAGGAAGGGCGTCCAAGACGCAAGAGAAACACACAGACCTGTGACGAAGCAGTAGCGGCCCTTGGCAGCCTCCTCCGCGCGGTTGCAGCCGTCGTTGGGGTCCATGGAGACGGGCAGCAGCTCTCGGTTGTCGGCCGAGAGGCGCATGCGCAGGCGGCCGCCACTCTTCTCGCGCAGGGCGTCCGCCGCCGCGGCGCTCGTCCCGTACACCACCGACCCGTCCAGGAAGCTCGTCGCCTGGTTCAGCTGCTCGCGCGGGCCTGCGATTTAAGAAAAAAAAATTGATTGATTATTTATTATTATTATTATTATTATTATTATTGATTAGTTATTTTATTATTATTATTATTATTATTATTTTCTTTATTCCACAGCTATCTTACTGGTCGGCTATTGCTCTTCTACAGCCAAACACAGGAATGGATGACAGCGTGCGTGGCGCTTTACTGAAAGTTCTAGATGGCTTTGCTGACAAGTACGGCAAGTATCACAAATTAGCTGACTTGTTGCTGTTATATACATTCTGGCATCAAGTTGAAGACACTCCAGTGCCCGCAAGTGTCATTTTCCGGGATCACTCCATGTAGCTGATTATAATTATAGGCGCAGTTGTCACTTTACTGAAGTTCCACTGCGCTTGTGACTTTTTATTGGCGCAGATCGGCTATAACTTCTGGATATCTCTCTTAATATTTTCCCGATCATGGGGTATATATAAGTGGGTGAGATTTATTATGTATTATTATTATTATTATTATTATTATTATTATTGACTATTATTATTATATATGATTTATTTACAAAGTTCAGTCATATGAAACTCTTCATTTGTAATGTTATACTTAAAACTAACTCATCATCAAGTAAATCTAATCTAAACTACAACTGACGAGGGGACTCGCAGAGCTGTTGCTGTGTGAAGTGAGAAAACTCGCTTCTCAGGTAGAAAAGACCGGAATTTGACGTGGGGATGTCTTCGTGCTAACCACACGTACCTCTTAAACGTATGGCCGCGAGACCAGCTCGCTGCTAGTAGGCTGTCTGCCCTTTCGCGGGTTGTGGCGCCAAGTACAGAGAGACAGGTTTGAATATTATATATAT